ATCTCTTTGATTTAGGAATTTGTGTTGAGAAACCTGTTGTGATTCTGATGAACTTTCCATTATGGGTGATTTGTTTCTTTTCTCTAGCTGCTTTTACTATTTTGTTCTCTTGAATTTCTGGAATCCTTGTATGCCTTAGTATAGATTTATTTTGGTCATGGTCATTTGGAGTTCTACATGGTTTATTTATTTGTCTCTCAAACCTATACCTATGTTTGGGAAATTTTCTACCATTACTTTTGTGAATTTTTTTTTTTTTTATGTCTTTTGCTTTCTGTATTCTTTCTGGTGTCTGTTTGCTCTCTCCAAAATATAATCGATGCACTTTGCAAATACTATGCTGAGTGAAGTCATTTCATTACTAGAGTTCACATATTATCTAATTCCATGTATATAAAGTGTCCAGAGTAGACAGATTCATGTAGGCAGGAAGCAGGCTGATGATTGGTAGGAGGAGTGAGGAATAGAGAGTGATAGCTAGTAGATATGTGATCTTCTTGTGGGACTCTGAAAATAAGTAGTAATGTAGTTGCACAATTCTAGGCACCTACTAAAACTCACTGCATTTTATATTGTATAGGAATTTTATCTCAAAACACTATTATAAAATCATAATGTCGTACGCTTTTCTTTTTTTAAATGTATTTGGTTGCTTCAGGTTCTCACTCTGCAGCTCGGACTCGTAGTGATCCTCCTGCTTTCAGTCTCCCCAACACAGGGATTACAGGGGTGTGCCACCACACCCAGAGTCTGGCCAGCTCAGCTGGCCCTGAAGATGGAGCTGGTGTGGCATGTGGTGCTGGGGATCAAACCATGGTCCCTATGCTTGCCTAAGCTTGCCTAAGCAGGCACTTTAGTCTGCTGAGCTATCTCACCGGCCCTTGTTAGTTTTTTTGAGACAGGATTTCACTATGTATTTAGGCTGGCCCTGAACTCAGTATGTACTCCAGGCTGCCTCAAACTCATGGTAATCCTCCTGCCTCAGCCTCCTGAGTGTCCTGGAATCACAGGCATATGCCACCAAGCCCAGCCATATAGACTTTTAAATAAAATATTTCCTATGTTATTTTTTGCTTTTTCATAGTTCATAATTTCAAGCGAATTTAAATACTGTGTATTTAAATTTATTTGTCCATTAAATATGTAGGGAAAAGAAAACAATGAAACCTCACTAATAATACCTACAAAAGTGGAAGGTTAAATTGAGCTGAAATTCAGAATATTTTTAAAAAGTTACAATTTTTTCAAATACATAGTGGAAGGCCTGAGGAGACAGCTCAGTGGTCTCAGTGCTTGCCTGGCAAGCACAAGGACCCAGGTTCAATCCATGGCATTGCATGCCATGCTGGCCCAGGGCTCCAAGCTGGCCCCTGAAACCAGGCATGGTGGCACACACTTGTAATCCCAGTGCTGGTGAGACTGAGACAGGAGGATCACTACGAGTCCAAGCTGCATAGGGAGACCCTGTACCAAATAAATAAATAATTTAATTTTTTTTTTAAAAATACATATTGGAGTTACAATGTATTGGTAAGTAGAAATTTATTGGGCTAAAAAGAACGATTAAAAATTATTTCTATACACTCATTCAATACATCTTTTCTCAGTTCCTCTGGTTTACAGTAACATAGACTTGTTCATTTTTAAATAAATGAATACCTTTTTTAAATGCCTGGATTCTATTCTATTAAATAGGTAAAGTCGTGTCCTGAAATCTTTAATACATTCTTCACTTGCTTAACAAGACTTGCTTTAAAAAAAACCATTGTTCCTAGTAGTAATAATAATTGTTCTGGATTTTTTTAGAGATTACAAAGAATTTCCATGCATTGTAATCTCTTCATTCCTTACAATAAAAGTCACGATCCAAACTTGAAATTTTTCTTTTCTTCGATCAATTCAGACACCTCATTATAATGTTTTGATCAAATCACCTTTCAAATACATTGGCAACCTCTCTGCTTCTCCCCACCCAACTGCCACTATCTCAGGCCAAGCCCCCAGTTGGCTTGCCTGTGTTCTGCATAGGCACCCAAAATTCCTGGCATTATTTTTTTGTATACTGACCCAATCCGTTCTCATGGCAAAAATTACTTGCACCACGTCTGAGTACGCTGCTCCCTTGTTAAAATTTCCCAGACTGCTCACAGTACTCTGAGAACAGCCCGCACATGTCCAGAACGTGTGAGCACGCTGTATTTTCTGGCATCTATGCGGTCTCTCCATGGTCCTTGGGCACCCCTCCCCACACCCAGGTATTCTCGAGCAGTCATGCTGGATATCTTTTTCTCTATATTGCCCCATGTTTCATGAACTTTTCAGGGCCAACCCAATAGCCCAGTGGACTAAAGCATCTGCTTAGGCAGAGCGCAGTGGCCAGGGCTTGATCCCCAACATGCTCTGCCAGCCCTGGCTGTGCCCCTGAGGTGCAGTGAGACTCAGTTGAGGCTGGGCGAGGTGGCACACACCTGTAATCCCAGCACTTTGGGGGTGGGGGCTGAAAACAGGAGCATCACTACAAGTCTGATCTAGGTAGTGAGACCTATACATTTATTTTATTTTACTTTATTGGTGGAACCGGGTATGGAACTCAGGCCCTTGCGCTTGCCAGGCAAGCACTTATTCTACTGAGCTATCTCCCTGGCCCAGACCCATACAATAAAATAAAAAACATTAAAACAAAAAGATCTTTTCATCTGCTCTTTCCTCTGACTGGGATATCTTTCCATCACTGTTGACTGGCTTCTCTTCATTCTTCAGGCTTCATCCAAGTATCGCCTGTTAAAAGAATCCACCATCTTGTTTCAAGTTATGTACCTCATTAAATCTCTTTTCAGAGTACTTCTTTCTCTAGCACTCATCAAAAATGATAATTTTGTGAATGTCCAAAGATATTAACCTTTATTCCATTTCTCGTCATTGCTCTGTAGAAAGCTCTTCTCATCTTCAGATCTCAGTTTAACTGTCACTCTCAAGCGGGTGACTCTATCAAGAAAAACTCCCTATTCTAATGTTCTTTTCTTTTAGTTTACTTCCTATTTTCCTGCTTGGTTTTTCTCTAGAATCTAATCACCACAAAGCCCATGTTTCTTGCTCACTGCTGAATTCCCAGCATCTAGACCAGTATCACATGCACAGCAGGTAACCACTAAGCATATAGTAAGTGACTAAGCGGAGGAGAGGGATAGCAGGTGTTCATACTCAGTTTCATAGATGGAGAAAGTGGAGTTGACAGCAACACAGTGAAGTGGGACTTCTTTTCTGTTGTTAGTAAATGGGAAGTCCAGTGGGATGCAGGTGATCTCATTTGTAATTCTAAGGCTTTTATTGGGGTAAGATTAGGGTTCCAAGTTCTACTTATTTTATTTATATTTATTTGTCTTACAGTACTAGAGATTGAACCTAGGGACTTCACATGCTAAGAAAACCCTTTACTACTGAATCACATTCTTCCAGCCTTGAGTGCTCTAGAATTCAACAGCCACTTTTTTTTCTCTTTTTGCCTGCAATGTACTGGATCTAAGATGCTCCATGTGAAAAGTGATCAGGTTATCATGGAGCTGTCTCACTTCACGGAATCAAGTTAGAGCTGCAGTTATGTAGGAGGAGGTTTTGACTTGGTTTTGGAAGGGACCAGTACAGGGATTAACTAACTCCAAGTCATTTAATCAGACTTCCATAAACTGAGTATGTTGTGATTGGCATCCTATTTTGTGTAGTAGTCACTTCTTCAGTCATTATCTAATTTGTAAAGGCACAACATTGTACATAGAAGGGGTAAAACAAGAGGAACAGCATGAATGCTTATTGGTATCATGTCTAACAAAAAAGCACGTGGTTGAAAGACTGCCCCACCACCCCACCCACATTTTGCTTTCAAAGTTCTGGGCCCAGGAGCACAGCTGGGTTTGATCAACATAAAGACTTATTCTGTGAGGAGCATCTTTCATGAGAGGGCAACAAAGAGTCCAATAGCTCTTGGCCTTCCTGAATAGAAACTTTGCATAGCCGGGCTTGGTTCACCTCGTCACAGGTCTGGAAATCACATCAAGGGAAGCAGTGAAGACAACAGACAATGAACCAGTCCAGCCAGTCCTCAGGATGGGCCCAGGCCCTTTGAAACTGCAGGACTAGTTAGTTTCAATAGATTTCCTGACAAGCCTGAAAACAGTAACCTGAGAGGCCAGCTTGCTCCCCTGAATCCTGTTTATAGCAGTTCATATTCCAGTGTGAAAACAGGCAGGCAAGCATGCTTGAGGTCAGTGATACTCAGAATTAGTCAAGGTTTTTGTCCTCTGCACTAATATTTACATTCCATGTCCCCTGGATTCATTAAGTGTTGTTATTGTGACCTCAGGTCTTTGACTTGTGCCAGAAGTTCATTGCCTTCATGGGAAATGTTGCCTGTTTTAAGGTGGACAGTACACTTGACATTTCTTCAACTTGCGTTGTCAAGTAGACTGTTGTCATACATACAAAAACTTTTCAGCAATGTTTTGTTTGCTTGCACCTACTTATGGAAGGGCTGTGGGGGAACTGCATCCATGGTTGTGTGCACCTTTGTGGTTCCATATTTTCTTTTCTAGAGAGAATATGAAGGTGAGGCTGAAGTGACCTTTCACTGAACGAAAGTCGGCCTTGCCCCTTGGAGGTGGTGAAATTGTGGTGTCACTTCTGTTTGAACTTCAATTTCCTCAGCAAAATAGGGACTCTGGCATTTGTCTTAATAATCCACGTGATGGACAGTGAGGGCCAAATGCAAAATGTAGGAAGAGCACCCTCTCCGTGGGTGCAGTGGTACACATCTACCAAGCATCTACCATGGAGGCTGAGGCACGAGGTTCACTTGATCCCAGGAGTCTAACACCAGCCCGTGCATATAGTGAGACTCTGTCTCAAAACAAAACCCAAATCCTTGGAGATGACCAAGTATTTTTAAAAGTCTCATGGTGGTTGCAATGGGAGTAAACTTTTTGAAAACTGTCCCTTCTTCTGCTCAGATGGCACTGTGTATCTGTATGTTGTGAACCATCCTCACATGGAATCCACTGTGGAGATATTTAAATTTGAAGAACAGCAACGGTCTCTCATACACCTGAAAACGATAAAACACGAACTTCTCAAAAGGTATGGAATGAAGGCTTTGTGTACTTCTACTGATTACTTACCACCGCTGTGTGCTCTTTTCCCTTTGGTCTGCAGGCTTTCTCAAACTTGTTGTCTTGCTGTGTTTTTTTCTCAGGCTTTCTAAAGATTCCCATGGTGACTCTGCCTGCACCTTACCAGAAATTGCTGTGGTTAGCACTGAATATGCCTGTATTTTCCAACTTTTTGAAAGCATTTTAATCCCATGAAGGTGTTTAATTAGATTCCCAGCTCTAATTTCATCCTCTTTACCTTTGCAATTCAATACCCACTATTGGCTGCCTTCAAACACCAACTCTCCTTTCTAATTGCACTCCGTGAGCCTCACCCACTTGGTGTTAACCAGCCTCCAGAAGGGCCATTTCTTTGTTCAGAAAGAGGTTTTAAATAGAATTTGATAAAGCTCACAGGCACTTATAGGAATTACACTTATTAAATGTTGGCTATGTAGCAGGCACTATGTCAAAACTCTTAATTTAACTTTATTTTCATAATAGTCTTTGGTAATAGCCATAAAGAAATTGAACCCAAGAAGTTTTGGGCTAGGTAACTTTCCCAGAATTTATAATTGGCACAACCCTTATGTAAACCTGAATCCATCTGAATTAAAAGATGAGCTCCCATTTATAAAAGCTTTGTTTCCATTTTTTCCCTTTTTTCCTCATTTTTCTTCTCCTGCCCTCCCACAATTCCCCTTCCCATTTGAACGTTTCCCAATATCTAGTACATATTTTGGTCCTTATTTACACTTTTGGTTTCTCACCTGAGAGAAACTTTGTGAGAAAAAGGCTTAAAGGGAGAGGAGGGGAATGGGAGAAAAAGAATAATCTAGATCTGCACAGTCACAAATTCCCTGGGATGAATGTGATCACTGGGTATATCTAAAATGTATCGATAAATTTAATTTTTTAAGTTTTTTTTAATGAGCTCTGTTTCAATGATGAGCATTTTTTTTTACTTCATTCAGAAATAATAGTAAGTTTTAGTGGATGAATTGCCAATTTCCAATCTGTAACAAACAATGAAAATTTGTGTGTTATAAAACAAACTCGACACTTGAGAGCTAGTTTTGAAATGGTACAGGTTGCCTTTTCCATAAGAAAGAACACCTCTTTTGTTCTCTTTGTCAATCTAGCCTTTAATTTCTTCCCATTACATTTGAGGATAACCGCAGCAGAGGGCACAAGAAGCAAGAGTGTTGAGGATATTGAACTTTCCCATAATGCACTGTTTTGGTTTCTGAGGCTACAGCGGACTAGGACTGCCAGGGGGTTTCTGGGAAACTGTGGGCCAGTCACTTAACATGTGCCTCGGTATCCTTAGTACTTTACAGATTCTCCCATCAATCCGACTTGCCAATGAGGAGCAAATGGCACAGCATGTGAAGTCACAGAAAGAGTTCCCTGGCAAGTACAGCCTGATATGGGACCACTTCATTAGATAGTTCAGTCCCAGGAAGCAAAAAATTAGAGACCAGCCTGAAACAGAAAAGGAGAAATATTAGGAGTTGAATTATGTGCTGCAAAAAGATACACTGAGATTTCAACCCCCTATGTCTCAGAGTATGACCTTACTTAGAAATAGGGCCATTGCTCATATTATTAACGATGAAGCCATGCTAGAGTAGGATGCATCCTTAATCCACTATGGCTGGTGTCCTTATGAGAAGGAATACGTTCAGGCATATATCCAGGCACAATAGCATATGTGGTGATGGGTCCTGACATGAGAGTGACGTTTCCATAAGCCAATGAATGCCCGGGGTACCAGCTGCTGGAAAAGCCACAGAAAGATCCTTCCACAAAACTTCCAGAGGGAACATGTTCTTGTCAACATCTTAAATTCAGATTTCTGGTCTCCAGAACTGTGAGACAATGATTTTTGCTCTTTTAAGCCATGCAGTTGGTCACACCTTGCTGTGGCAGCCACGGGAAACTTGTGCATGGAGAAGGGCATACCAAAAGTATTAACAAGCCAGCTGCTCCTCAATGCAGGTGACCGCTCAAACTCATGGAATTGTCTTCCAGTAAGTTACATAAGCCTCATTTCAGAACAATCTGGCTACAATAAAAACTTTATTACACAGCCCTATCTAGCATTAGCCAAAGGTTGACCTCAAGGGCCCTTAATCTTGTTTGCATTCCTGGCTATATATGTATGAGTTGAATCTGGTGGTATCTTGTGCTTTGATGTTGACCTAACAGTCTAGAAAGGGGCTGGTGAGTAAAGCACTCTCTGATGGCTCCTGTGGGGAACAGAGGGAGCTAAAATAAGATAGATAGGGGCAGAGAAATGTAAAGAGGAGCTAGAAGGCTCCCTGCTGTGCATGTTGACCAAGCTTGCACAGCACGCAGAATAGGACATGAGGAACACATAGTGAGAGAATTTAACTTACGCTGTCAGGCAAGAGCTTGGGGATGAAGAAAACCTTAAGCTGGGACAGAAGCACATAGCCCCATGACTCTGGGGAAGTGGTTATATATCAAAATCTCAATTTTTTTCACAATTCCTCATTTATTCTTTCCTAAAATTTAATCTAGAAATTTTGCATCTGCCTTTACATTTGATGTCAATTTTTGCTTTTTAAAATGAAAAGGACTTTGTTGTTTTTATTAACTGTAACAACTTTAAAAACCTGCTTCATTGAAAGATGTGGGTGGTATCTGGGAGCAGTGGAGTGGGGGAAATATAGCTGGTTGGGAGACTGAGGCTGGGTGAACTAGAAGAAGGAAAGGGAGGTGGAGGGAGAGGAGGAGGAGGAGAAGGAGAAGGAGAGAGAGAGAGGGAGAGGGAGAAGGAGAGGGAGCAGGAGAGGGAGAGGGAGCAGGAGTGGGAGAGGGAGAGGGACAGGGAGAGGGAGAGGGAGAAGGAGAAGGAAAGGAAGAGGAAGAGGAAGAGGAAAAAGGAGGAGGAAGAAGAAGAGGAGGAGGAAGAAGAAAGAAGAAGAAGAAGGAGGAGGAGGAGGAGGAGGAGGAGGAAGAAAGAAGAAGAAGAAGAAGAAGAAGAAGGAGAAGGAGAAGGAGAAGGAGAAGGAGAAGGAGAAGGAGAAGGAGAAGGAGAAGGAGAA